TTTAATGTAGTAATATATATTCAGGTGGGACTTTTTGTTTATTGGATGTGTTTTGTCTTCATTGTTTTTATATTTTCTGTATTGATTTCTTTTATATGGATTTGTGTATTATTTATTGTTTTAAACCTTTTAGTTTGTGAAACTTTTTATTTGCCTTGGTTATTGATATCATAGTTGTTTACACTTTAAGTTCTTTGTTTCCTTTTATATTTTAGAGTTTTTTGTGTCTCTTATTTTACTTCCTGTCTGTATGTAGTTTCCTGTGATTGTCTTACCTCCATTACTTCCTTTCTTTACTTCACTTGTTTTTCTTTATTCTTCGTCTGTTGTTTGTTTGTTTAAATGTCACATCAGTTGTAAAACTTTCTTATCAGATTCATTTTGCTCATTGTTTTTTATAATCATATCATATAAAAGGATTTATATTGTCATGAAACTTTATATAAACAGCTAGTTTACAATAAAGGTGACTTAGATATACCCCCCAACCCCACCCCACCAGGAGGCAGTTGCTCGGCGAAGGTGGAGTTCAGGCAGCACTGCATGATGTCAGGATGGCACCTATGCTGCCCCCTCTTGGCACGGAGGTCTTTAGACGCTTTACACCTGCTTCACTAGAGGAAATCCAACAGCGACACGAAGCTGAAGAAAAAGAGCATCAGAGAAGGAAGGAAAAAAACATCGAGGTAAATAACATATCGATTGAAAAATTATCAAGTAATAAAAACACTAACAGTCAACTGTGACAGCTGGATGACGTCAGACCTCTTGGACAAGTCACATGATGTGATGAGGAAAAAACAGAAGAGCCTTAGAATAAGTTGAAAGGTTTCTGATTGGCTTTCTCTCTGACTCATAGGTAGCGGAGGAAGATCTTCCCAAACCAGCAAGTGACCTTGAGGCTGGGAAGCCCCTCCCATTCATCTATGGAGACCCTCCCCCTGGGCTCCTCAACACCCCATTGGAGGAGCTGGATCCCTTCTATCAATCACACAAGGTTTCTGTTGAGTTAGATCATGTGATGAGGTCATGAAGGGTACAGGGTTTTTTGTCACTGAAAGTGTTTTGTTGATATAATAAAGCTCTTTTGTATGATTCTCTGACTGCAGACGTTCATCGTGCTCAGTAGAGGAAACATCATCTACAGGTTTAACGCTGAACCCGCCTGTTTCCTTCTTAGTCCATTCAGTCGTTTGAGAACCTTCGCCATCAGGATACTCATCCATTCATATCCTTTGTGGTGTCACAATTCATGTTCTGCATTTTAACCATAAAGTGAAAAACAAATTCCAAAAATAAAATCTAAACAAAATTGAAGGCTATTCACCATCAGCCAACCATGACACAGCCCCGTGTGATGTCACTGTTGCTCCTGATGAATATACAGATTACTTTGATTGTATCAGGATCAATAACTGTACCACAAATTGATCAACAGGATATTGATCAATGATCATCTGATCATGTTCCTTAAAATAGAAAACTTTATTCAGTTTATTCATCATGATGACGATTATGACAAACTGTGCTTTCATGACGATGAGTGATCCGCCATCTTGGAGCAAGACTGTGGAGTGAGACACAATCACACACAAACACACACACACAGACCAACAACTTATATTTTGACATTTTAAGTTTTTGTTTTGTGTAACAGATACGTGTTTACGTTCATCTACACATTTGAAGCAACAATCAAAGTTTTGTCACGAGGATTCTGTGTCGGAGACTTCACCTTCCTCAGAGACCCCTGGAACTGGCTTGACTTCATGGTCATCAGCATGGCGTAAGCATGAATAACATTCCTGATCGGTAGCACACGCATGATGTTGATGATGATGTGATGATGATGATGTGATGATGATGATGATGATGATGATGATGTGATGATGATGATGTGATGATGATGTGATGATGATGATGATGATGATGTGATGATGATGATGATGATG